GGAACTTTTGAGTTATCTATTTGTGAATGGAATGAACTTGAAAAGTTGTCTAATGAACATGGTAGAATGTCCTGTCCGTAAAAAATGTTATAAAAATAGCAGCGGTGAATTCACTAGCATTTATGGTTACTGCAGACACAATACTTGTAAAAGTTTTAAGTTTGATTTTGAAAAAAAAACTGAAAGTGCAGTTAAGGTATATGTACTTCGCAATCAAAATATATACTATAGCCATGGTGGAAAATTAACAAACTTTCTTAGAGGACCGGAGCGAATGAGTTATCGAAAAGAGGCGGGTCACATAAAACAGTTGGCTTTGAGGCAAAAACATGTTATGAAATCTTCTCCTAGGAAGATAAAACGAGGGAACCTTCAACAAATAAGGTCAACCAGTGTGTATAACAGAGTGTCACACGACACTTTGAGTAAGTTTGATTTCGATAGCGATGACAGAGTAGACTCGTAAACTCTGAATTGTGTGAAATACGTATCACACCCTCAAAGTCATAACTTTGAATGTTACATTTTCAGTAAAGAACAATTGATGGTTTTGAATAAACTCAAGCCAGTCACATAACATATTGACGCGACGGGTACAGTCATAAGACCTACTACGTTAAAAAAAAAAACAAGAAAAACGTTTATTGTACTATGCGGCAGTAATAAAAGCAAACGATCACATGATGCCAGTTATTTCCCTCGTATGTATGTGTTATGGATTAGTATTATTAAACATAGGAAGTAAGTAAGGATGTAGCAGTATTTGTAAAACATTTAGAATTATGAAATAAAATGATTATTATAAATTAGTGTAAACAGGCACAATCCCGAAAACTGCAAGTAAGCACTTTTATATAGGAGGGATTGTCCTAGATAAGTTTAGATATAAGGAACGTTAAGATGGTAAGACAGGAGGTGGAGAATGGAGAGTGCCATTGTCTGCATATGTTCAGAACGCAATAAACTTTATTAATTGAATAGTAAACGTGTGTGTGTTACTTTATTTACTAAATCTACCTACAAACTCTACAAGTACGAGGCTACGGTCAACCGACTTGTAACATTGGTGGCAGCGGATCAAAAGAACCATTAATTCAAACAAGACGCGTTTATTCAATCAAGGTGAGTTAAATTGTTATTGAACGAGTCAAGGTGCATAATTCCAGTCAACTACGGATCATTCCACTCAACTACGGAGCATTTCATTCAACTACAAAACATTTCCAGTCAACTACGGATCATTCCACTCAACTACGGAGCATTTCATTCAACTACAAAGCATTTCCAGTCAACTACCGATCATTCCACTCGACTACGAAGCATTCCAGTCAATTACAGAGCATTCTAAACAAATTCAGCATTCAACTTTTTCAAAGGCA